TTTCATGATGGTTAGTTGTTATTCTGGTGCTACTGGGTGTTCATTCATACTAATTGGGTGGCTGAGAGATAAATTCCTCCCTTCATATCCAACTTGACCATTTTGCCCCTAGTGTTATTTTGGTGAAATTCAACTGGTTTTTTGGTGTTGCCCTATTATTAGCTCAAGGCTCCATATGCACAATTCATACATCACGTGAGCCTGTGCTTACAATTTTCATAGTGTTGCTTGAATTAAAGACTTCATTACCGCCTTTTCCTCTGGCTGCCGATTTGGGAGCAAAGTAGTTTGTCTCTTTTCTGTTCGTTTCTACAAACTTTTTTTTATTGTTCCAGCTTCCTGCTGCTCCTGTTTTTTATTTCTAATATATTGTTGTGGGGAATTATGGACGATTTTTCCCCTGCGTTCATTTAGCCATTCAGACGGGGCACGAATTTAGCCTAAAATACTCATGTAGAAAGTGGTTACCTGGTAAAGTTGTGTTAGATCAATCTCCGTTATTGTTTGGTTGTTGGATTATAGATGACTCCATATGTTCCTATGGTTGTGTGAAGTTGATCTTCTCCATTATTGTTTGATTTAAATGATAATAAATTAGGGATTCCAATTTTAGATAGCGCTTACCCTTTCCCCAACATTATGTCTCCGACTATTCCTAATGTGTGACCAAACCATGTTCACTTAACTCAAGATTATGTAACATGTTGAAATGTATATATATCTACTTGTTGACAGGTGGGGTTTATGATCTTTGTTTACGGTTTTTATGTTTCAGCTACAACAGTATTAACGGAGGGATTGATGGTAACTGATGCAGAATTGGTGTTGTATCTATAACCATCAAAGTGCCTCGGAGGACATCTTTTGTGAACTAAGTTCAATTCTTTTTCTTTTTAATATATATTCTTAATTTGATGTAGTTTATTGAACTTGACTATGTTTTCATGTAATTCTACACCATTGGGCAAAAGTAATATATACATGAAAGTAAACTGATGTCTATACATCAATTGTTCAAAAAAAAAAAAAAACCTGATGCCTATATAAATAATAATACAATATGCAATATAATCATCACATGAGTGGTTACTTGTGTTCTAGATGAGAAAAAATTGATATAAAAAAGAAACAAGATATGAGCATTAACTTGACTAATTGAAATATAAATGAGCATTTCGGTCATTGTTATATATATATATATATATATATATATATATATATATAGATATATATATATATATATATATATATATATATATATATATATATATTTTCTAAATTTGTACCAAATATTAAACAGACTAAATTACATATTTAATCCTTAATGTAATGAATTTTATGAGTTGGAAGGATGTATAAAATCCTGAAAACAAATAACACTCTTAAATTGAAACATTTTTCTTTTACCAAAACATCTCCATTCTTAATAAAAACCTCCCCTACATGCCATATGTCCATCTTTTACACCTCCTTTTTGCCATGTGGCATTCTCTCCATCGATTCTATCTATTTTCTCCCGCCCCAATTCATCAATCGATATCAAATCTGTAATCAAATCGGTATCCCTAAACTTTAGCCGTCGAATTTGGTACAATTTTGGTTTTCATATAATTATCTTCAATCTTTTCTTCTTTACCATCCATAAATCACGCCTCTATCTCCCCAAATTTCGTCTTCTATCATGTGGAAACCAAATAACCAGTGATATCGATTCAAAGTTTAAAATAACGAAATCCCCTAGGGTTTAATCTTACTGCACTTCCTCCTCTGAAATATGCCCGATTTCTTCCGCCATGACTTCTCAATCCAAAGTTGATCAACAGAAGCTCAAAGGAAACGAAATCGGAAGGAGTAAACATCAGGTAATTTTCGTCAAACGTTTGTATCAGATTTGGTTTTATACGATTAGCCATTTTTGTGAAAGTGTTGGAGTCTATTTTGGTTTCATATTTCAGTTTCATACAAACAAAAAGCATTCCCTTCTTTATCTTTGTTCTAGATTGGAGGCCAACATTGTCTATTACATTGGTGGGAGAAGCTACAGTCGATTTGGTATCTTCCAGTTATTTTTCAGTTTCATTTTTTTCCTCGGTTGTGCAGGTTTAATTCCTAAGAGGCGTTTTCAAGTTCTTAGAATTTGGGTAAATAAAGAAATAGGTTGTAATTAATATCTAATTTGATATATATATATATATATATATATATATATATATATTATATATATATATATATATATATATATTGATTTGAGATTTTAAAGAGGGTTACTACATTGCAAAAACAAGTGGAATTGTGTTTGTCATTTCTTGCATCTAACCATTTTCTGGTCTAATACAATAAACAACAATGTACTTTTTTAGATTTTTTTTATTAAGTGACAGTTGTTTTGGAACTTTTCTTATGGTTATTGGGATATTGATGATATAGTCAAATGACAACAATTTAGTATATTTTTATTAGGAAATAAAAGCATACTTTCATTAGGAAGTTTTCCTTATATGTTCTTAATGGCATTTCTATCTTAATTATTGTTGTTAGGTGGATAAGATGGAAATTAGCCAAATTATGTATCATTGAATAGATTTTCCGTTTGTTACCTATTTCTGCTCCTACCTCACCTACAAAGATAGGTTTCAGAGTCACAAATCAATACCATGGTGAACACGAAGAGGTAAACCTCACATTCTATCCTCTCTCACTTGATTGATTTCATGATTCCTTTTTCAGCTGTGTATTTTGTTAACATTTTAGGTAAACCTTGAATCTTTTCATGTTTATTTACACAAATTTTAAGTTTTTAGAGGTTGCCTAAAATCACGGTTCTGGTGGCTTCTTCTAAACGACAATTGAGGTTTTTTTCCCCAAAATCATAGTCTAAAAGGCTTTTCCGCTTTGATCTAACTCAAATGTTTTCATAATTTTACTGTATCCCATTAAAATCAATACAAAATATGTTTCACGTTTATTGAATGTGATTAGATTTCAATTTTTGAACATAGAGACTGTTGCGATGGAAATAAAGGAACGACTATGGGTGGTTTAGCAAGAGGGTGCATTCTTCGTCAACGTAAAGCTCCCTATATGTGTAAGTAGACATAAAAAAGGTCATTTTATTTCATTGTATGAAAATGAAAATCGTTGAGTCTGACATATTCAATGACAATCCATATTATCGAAAAATGTAGAAAGAATAGTTAGGAACCTTGAATTTAGAATGATTGTCTTGACTAATATCAGCAAATGCAAAGTATAATGTTCAAAGGGGAGTAGTTTAGACCTTATGTAAAACTGATTGGGAACAAATTGTCTCGAAATTCCCATTGTCCAACATTATGTTTTGGATCCCCAAGCATCTAAGCTTCCAAATGAAAGGCTTACTTGATAAACATACTTCTTTGGTAGATGTATGGCTCAGTAATGTCCTAATCTTCCATCTTATGTGAGGTATTTAAGATATTTATGATTGTTGCAACATGAAAGTAATTTTGTGTCTACTTTTTTCTTGATATTACAAATTAATTTTCTGTCGTGTATTTAATTTGCTGCCACGTTTTGGCAGATATAAGTCTTAACACAAGATGAAGTTAACCTCAAATTTTCTTAAAAAAACCAAGTGAATAGACCTTGCTGTTAGAGCCACTCGATGATGAGGGTCTCCACAATAATTTGTAATTTTTTCTTGCACACATAGTGATATTTTTTATATATGTTTTAGTTGACTGAGTACGCTGCTGAGTGAAAAATATCGGAAGAAAGTTTATAGAAAAATGATATGCAAATTTTGGAGTTGGTATAGCCGAACAGAAAAAGACAATGTCATGCAGATGATGGGCTTCAATATCGTCACTATGGCGGTTTTTGTTTCACATACGGTCTGTCTATTTTCTCCCGACTCAAATACTGTTGTCACTATTTTGGAATATTACCCGTTGATGTCTTTTTCCTGTTATTGTGTAATATTAGACATGTTACTCTGATGTTATAGTCCATTAGTCCTATTGTTTGTTTGTAGCTTTGTAATATTGCTTTGGTGTAATATTAGACATGTTTTCATTTTCTTGCTTTTGTACTTTGTACTCTTTCCATTTTTTTGTTTTTTTGTTTTCTTTCTGTTTTCTTTTTTTTTCCTTTTTTTTTTTGACGTTGGAAAACTCTAGATGATCGTTACAATGTTATTATGTTTATGTCATAGAATTACTCTTCTAAAGAAAAGCCCTTGCAACTTTATCTGATACTGAAATCGAGATTAATTGTAATATAAAACTCAAATTAATGATGTGACTATCAGTTCTATGTCGTGGTATTTTACAAATTTGTAGGGATTTCATAATTTTTTTCATAATGTAGAGCCATTTGTTTTACTAACTAAACTTAGCAAAAAACCTAAAACTTCTAACATTTATATATGACATGTAAATAGAAAATATTTTGAAACTATAATATCGAAAATTACCTTGAAAAGCTATCAAATTGATTGAAACTGTATCAAATACTGAGATGATTTATGGTCAGTTTCGTGATGATTTATTGTCTCCTTATAGACGATTTTAGACATGGAAAAATTTATTATAAAATTTAAGATTAGTTTTTTAATCAAAATTAATTATTTTTATATATTTACTATACAATTTAGTCATTTTTTGGCATCCGAATGGATAAATTAAAAATCACTACAAAAGGCTAGAAAAAACCAATATGAAGCATCAAATAAATGAGTTTTTTAGCCGGTGGGTCCAAGTTACTGTTAACACAAGATCAACTTATTTAATTTTCTACTTCATTGCACAACATAATCATATTAGTTTAAAATATTGATGTACAATTATGTTTAATATATCAAACTTTGTATAAAAATAAATGTTTGTAAATATATGATCAAATATTAGTATTTTTATAGTATATTTGTTATTTTACTTTGTCATCCGTGGATTCCACGGGTTATAACCTAGTAGCCTAACATTCACACATTCCAAGTAAAATACAACCCACACCTCTAAACCTAACATTAAATATATAATATAATATATACACAAACTAAACCTAACATTAAATCCCTCCCTAAAACATTAAATAATCAAGAACACATACACACCCATATATTATAACAAGAATACCATATATAATATAATATATACACAAACTAAATAAAAATAAACAGACTCACAAAAGTTCCTTGTCATAAAAAGCAAGAAGTTGTTTCACATGATTATTCCAAACCGCCACATTTTGCCCATCAACCGTCACCCAATCAACAACCGTTGATCCCAGTTGTTCCCACCACTCTTCCAACTACATCACAATTTCATATTTAAATATTTCATTTATTAATTAAATATATTAAAAAATTCAAATTTTTTTGTAAGGAAAAAAGTTTTTACTTACCAATCCAGACACGTATTTACAATCTTCAAGACTCTTCTGAGAATTCACAACTCCATTCCTTAACTCGGGCAACCACTTTTCCATAATCGTCTTCTCTTGTTCAGAAAGCCAAATCTAGACAATAGCTTGTTGTCCTGCAAAAGGAATGGAATCAGAAATTGGAATCGGAATCAAAAGAACGTAGTATACTTCCGTATAATTCACCAAGCATGGAATTTGAAGGATTCTGATAGAATTAAATTCGGTTTATTTTGCAGAGGAATGGAATTGCATATTCCGGTTCCGTTGGAATCACTGATTCCAATTCTGTCGTAATCGCTGATTCTGGTTCCACCTTCAGATATAATTAAATTCCGTTTATTTGGCAGCGGAATGGAATCACGGATTCTGATTCCAACGGAATCACAGAATCGGAATAACTGATTCCAATTCTGTCGGAATCCATGATTCTCACATTCAGATAGAATTAAACTCCGTTTATTTGGCATCGGAATGGAATCACATATTCCAATTCCGTCGGGATCACGGATTCCAGTTCCACCCTCATACCTTTCGTATTCTTGTTGATTGTGATAAGCATGGTTTAGCAACGCGTGACCACTTTCCACAAGATCCCTCCTGATATGCACCAGATTGATAGCTTTTGCTAAGTCCTCCAAAACACAAGCTTCCGAACCTGATCATATGAAAAAAATCAAGTTTATATTAATTTTGTAAAAAAAATAAAAATAAAAAAAAAAACAATTACAAGGACCTTTCTGTAAGATTTTAAAAGATTAGACTTACAGTTATAGCAGTAAGACATACATTAAAGTTGGGTTAAAATTAAAATACAGTGAAAAAAGTAAGTAAGCACCTGCTCATTGAAAATACCTCCAAGTCTCCAACTCCAGAAAAACCAACAAGGACATGAGGTTTGACCTTTTTGACCTGTAATGTAAAACATCAAAATCTGAGGCCTCCATATGAAATTGAAAAGAACAGCACAAGTTTATAGAGATGCCTTAATAAGAAAAAGTTTAGCAAGTACAATGCTGTAACTAACAGAAATGAAAGTAGGATGTTAATGTAAACAGATAAATGAAAGTGCATTCTTATTTCTTGAATTTAGCTCTCTCTTAATTTAAAAACCTACCACTTCAAGGACATGAGTATTAACAAGACAAAAAAATTGAAAGTACAACATTGTTATTAAAAAATGAAAGTAGAATGTTAAAATAAAGGAACAAAAGAAGGTATGTAACTAAAAAAGAGACGTATCACTTCAATTCAAGGAGATGAGCATTGATAAGAAAAAAAAAATGAAAGCATGATTTTATAATAAACAAATACATAAATGGAAGCACGTTGCATTTAGCAGTTATTTTAGAAAAGATATGTAATGTACCACTTGAAGGAGATCGGATCCCTCCCGGAGTCCAATACTTTGAACCTCTCCAATGGATTTTGCAAATGGTGAAGCTGCTGGGTCAACACCACTTCTCTCTGTTGTGATCAAACCCTGCATCCAAACCAAAATAAAAACATCAAAACTTCTCAGATTCCATTCCTTCATATATATATAATATAAATGGTTTTAAAGCTGTAATTCAAACATAATCTCCCATCGGGATCTCTCACATAATCCTATAAATGGTTTTAAAGCTAATAAATAATATATTCAATCCAATCTTTTTTAAAATATATTAATAAAACTACCTGCAATTCTTGAAAGATAACTGAGATTGATTCATCTGTAGCAATGGAAGAAATGATCTCAAGTTTTAGAGATTTGACTTGATATGCATCTGAAGTGTTTATAAAAAAGTCTTCAAAATTTGGATCAAAAAGAGAAGGCATCACTTTTGTAAAGACTTGAATGTTGCAGAGGACCTGTGTTAGTTGCAAAACCTACTTCTTCAAATAGTATAATAAATATGATTAAAACATTTTACACTAATTTTAATATTGGTTTTAATGTTGCAGAGGACCTGTGTCAGTTGCAGAGGACCGAAGTTTTTTGAATCTTAGAGAAGGGTGAATGCTTAAAAGTGGGACAGATACACCCGAAAGATCAATCTCTCATGGAGAGATTCCTTCTTGATTGCTGTTACCAACATCTTCATCCCACTCATGGAGAGATTCGTTCTTGATTGTTGTTACCAGCATCTTCATCCCACCTCACCTGTTGAAATGTGTTTGAAATTTAAAGAATGAAAGTATAAAATAATAAAACTAGTTTCTTTATATGAGGTTGACATGTGAAGTACCATTACGCATCTCCATTTTGATTTAGACCATTTGTAAGGAACTAAGGATCCATGTCACTTATTCCGGTCACATGGATTATCTTCACCTTTGAATTGACTACTCCAAATCCATAATCTGTAAGAAATTTCAAATGTCAGGTTGCCTTAAATCAGGAAAGCTAATAAGTAAAAACACTAACTGCATATTCCAAAACGAAGTATGTGTTAGTAGTAACTAATATCCACATTAACGAAATTAAGGAGTATCTCCAATCTAGCTCTGCTATTGCTCATATCAATATGAGTTTTCTGAGTAATCAGAGATGAAAAATTATCCATTGCTTCATTACAGGCCGAGATACTACTGGATTCACTCGATCCACATTTAAAAATCTTCCCAACACCACTTAGTAAAACATTTAGTAACAACTCAAACGTTCATACAATTTAAATCTCAAACTTGTGAAATTTACAAAGTGTGGGAATGAAAACTCGTCTTGATTTGCAAATTCATCAATTGAATACAAGTACTCAAATTGCACCTGATTGAAATGCGAACAAATGAAGTTTAGAGAGAGAGAATATACCTTGTGCCATGTTTGATGAGGCTCTGTCCGAGCTTCAAGAAACGTGGATTAAGAACAGAGTGATACGATCCTGCTAGTGATAGCGGAGGAAACAAAGTAAAAGAAGTGAATATAGGGCACCGGTCACGAATCGATGTAAAAGCAACGAAGGCCATGGCGTGACCAGTGGCGTGTCGGCGATTGGTGAAAAATGACGGAAATAGAGATGAAATGTTTCACGATCTGGTGAGGGTGGACGATGACTGAAACGGCGATGAAGGAGATATCAAGGGGTGACCGGTGGTGGCAGACCGGCAGTCGCGATTCGACGAGTCAATTTTTTGAGCGCATCGACCCTAATCGATCGATGTTTGCTCTTCGTTTGATTTTCGTGGTGTTGACGATTTTGAAAGAACAGGGTATACTAGGGCTTTTAGGAAATAACACCACGGAGGGCAAATAAAAAACAAATCAAGACATATATGTTATTTTGGAGACACATGTGGTGAGTTAAATCACAACTTTCTTTTATCGATTTTTTCATAATTAGTATATTATTTTAATTATTTTAGTTTTTTAATGAATATAAAATATTTCCGGGGATCAAGAATAATACCAAGAAAAGATGACGGGTACTTCAGGTACTACAAGTTATACTGAAAAATATTTATTTATATTTTCTTAGTGACACTGTTAAATAAATTAACTAATAAAAAATTTTAATTTAGACATTAAAACATATTGTGTGTCTTTTTTTTTTCTAATTTTTAGACATTAACGAATAAATTCATGACAGACATTTTTAACTAGTGCAAATCATTGATATTTTATGCAGTATGACAGACTTTTTTGGGTCTGTCATAGAGCTGATGTCCGTCGTAATTTGTCTGCCAAGGAAAGCCCTTTTTCTAGTAGTGACAAAAAATTAGAGTAAGGAATTTTGTGGTTTAAATCATTTGGAAAAAATATTTTTGACATCATATCGAATCATATAATCAAAAATTTATTAATTTTGGTTTCAATGTTTTCATCAAATAGACAAAACTAATAAAAATTGGCTTAATGAGCTATACATTGGAAATCATCTTGTAGCAAGATACGCATCCGGTGTCTCTAAATGAAGTTGTATCAATATACACCTCTGGTGTCTTTAAATTATTATGGATGCTCAATTGTTGTTGTGAAAATATCAACCATAAGTTAAGGAATATCATAGTAGAGAGTAGGACAGAGTCTGTTAACTAAAATGTAGGGTTTTGTTAGTAAATGTATGTTCAGAGTCGATTAAATGTTTATTTGTATTCCCTAAATGTAACATCCCAATTTTCAAGGCCAAAAATTTTGTTTTAATTATGTTACTTGTAAAACAGTTTACTGAAAACCTCATCAATATCATATAAATCCATAATCTCATAAGTCAATGTCATAAAACATGAGGTGGAATACTAATAATGTCAGAGTACAATCCCAAGAATCTCATAATACGGAAATCAGGTGTGCGTGTGATGTGCAGCTACCGCGCCGACTCCTTCCCCTTCGCTGAAGAGATACCTGAAACCAAAACTGAAAACCGTAAGCACAAAGCTTAGTGAGTTCCCCCATCATACCACATACCATACAACCCAAAAATTTCGTTTTTAAATTACTTAAATCCCAATCAGTTTACCAAAACATCATCAATCTCATATTACTTGTAAAAACATAATGTTATGTCTCAAAACCATATAATCAGGAACAATGTAAATCAGAGTACAATCCCAGAAATCCGATGCGGAAACCATATATGTGTGTGATGCGCTGCTACACCGCCGGCTCATTCCCCTTAGACGAAGAGGTACCTGAAACCAAAACTAAAACTGTAAGCACAAAGCTTAGTGACTTCCCCCATCATACCCATAGCACAGAATCTTCGGTATCTTTCAACCGGTAACCGGGAGCTACCCTCCCCTTCGGTATCTTTCAACCGGTAACTGGGAACTATCCTCCTCTTCGGTATCTTTCAACCGGTAACCAGGAGCTACCCTCCCCTTCGGTATCTTCCAACCAGTACCCGAGAGCTAACCCCCCCCCCCCCCCCCCCCTTCGGTATCTTCCAACCGGTATCTGGGGACTATTTCCCCCCTTATCCCTATCACATAATCCATAACATAAACATATTGGTTTCATGATCATAACATAAGCATACTGAATCATACAATAACATATCATAAACATACTACTATGCATGCGTGGGTTCTGTCAACCCCTTCGGTATCTTTCAACCGGTAACTAGGGACTTGTGCGCCCTACTACTACTAGCACATATCTCAGCACAATCATATCAACCAGATAATTATCACAAAGACAATCATCTCAAACATAATCACCTACTGGTGATCGGCATTGGTGCCGTAGACCCACCCCTACTGGAAGATAACTCACCTCGTAAGGCTGTCTGCTGAAATGCTGATCCGGAAATGTCTGACTGCTGCTCCGGTAACTCCCGGGCTACAATTCCTATAAAGACACTTAGTCAAACACTGCTAACCAATCTTTGGGTAAAGTGACTAATTTACCCCTGGTCAAGGTCAAAGCCTCAGTCAAAGTCAACTTCCAGTTGACCTGACTCGCCGAGTTGGGCCGCCAACTCGTCGAGTCCCTTTCCTTTCATCTGACCCTCTCCCGACTCTACTCGTCGAGTTTAGCAAAGACTCGACGAGTTCCCTTTTATAATATCCTCGAATGAATCTTCATCCGGCTCGCCGAGTTGTATGAACAACTCGTCGAGTTCTCCTTCATCCTATGAACATGTCCAGTCTGCGACTCGCCGAGTTGTATGAACAACTCGTCGAGTTCATCTTCAAAAGTTGGGAGATTGCCTTGGACTCGCCGAATCTGTTCATACACTCGTCGAGTCCTATGATTCCCAGGTCCATGGTTAAGTCTAATATGTTGAGTCACTCCCCTGTACCCCTCTAATACCCTTCTAACACTCATCTGGGTCTCTTTGAACCTCAACAGACTGGGGACTCAAGCCCTGGACTCGCCGAGTTCCAAGAACATCTCTGCCACAGTCTCCGTAGTCTGTCTCATATCCAAGAACTCCCTGGCCAGCTGCTGAAGCTCCACAGCTGGCGCGAACTCAGCCCTGAATCTGGTCACAAAGTCTGACCAGGTCATAGCCTCGATGGTTGGGGCTCCCAACGAGTCACCAACTGACTCCCACCAATCTCTAGCTCTATCCCTCAAACATCCCACGACAAAGCGGACCTTCGACCCTTCCGAGCAGAAGCTCGTTAACTGCGCAGACTCGATGTCTGCGATCCATCTCCTGGCAGCAATGGGGTCCTTCACCCCGTGAAAGTCTGGCGCACCACTCCCACTGAAGTCCTTGAAGGACAGTGTGCGCGTACCCGTCTGGTTGGACGCCATATCATTCCTGAATGACCGGAGGCGATCCTCCATCAGCTCCACGATCCCCTCCTTGGTCGACCCGAAAATAACCGGGGTCGACTCAAGGATGCTTCTCGTGATCTCAGACGCGATGAACTCGCGTAGCCCGTCATCAACCTGCTCGGATCCTGAGCCCGAGCGTGACCCTGATCCTAACCCAGATCCTGCTCCATGTCGTGTAATCGCCATACTGAAAATAAACACGTAAATGTCAGGATCATACATATCATCGAGAGTTCTCACACACTCTCCAAGTTTCCCGGTTCTGTCTCAACCTTCCTTGATTCGAGTACGGATCCTCTGCTTCCAGTAGTACGGGCCCATACTACCTTCCACATCTATCCGTACTTCCCTCAAGAACTGCCTTGACTTCACCAAGTCCCTTTATACTAATACAACTTCCCAACTAAGCTCATCCTAGGCTTTCCTAGGGCACTCCCCGACCTACTCTCCGATGTCAGCTGCACTAGGAGTCCCTACCACCTCTCCCTAACTCGCTTGCGGATACTGCTACATATCCGCTCACTATTTAGTTAGAGTTAGCCAGGACCCCTATAGCACAAAGCAAGCAGCATTCGTGCATCGAGTAACCACAACAAGCATAACCTAATTAGGATATCCTGCTGCTGTGTAACATCCCAAAATTTGAGACCAAAAAATTTGTTTTTAAATTAAGCAAGTCATAAAATATGTTACCAAAGCATTGTCACTATTACATCAGGTTTAAACCACAATGTCGTCTCAAAATCATAACATCATAAGTGAAAGAAATCAGAGTACAATCCCAGAAGTTCATTGCGGAAATCATGTGTGAATGTGTGATGCGCTGCTACACCGCCAGCTCCTTCCCCTTAGACGAAGAGGTACCTGAAACCAAAGATGAAACTGTAAGCACAAAGCTTAGTGAGTTCCCCCATCATACCACATACCATATAATATCGTCGGTATCTTTCAACCGGTAATTGTCATCGGTATCTTTCAACCGGTATCTGTCATCGGTATCTTTCAACCGGTAACTGTCATCGGTATCTTTCAACCGGTAACTACCATCGGTATCTTTCAACCAGTAATTGGGGACTATTTCACCCCTACCATTATCATACAATAACAAGGTATAATCATACAATCAAGCATAACTGGGTACTGACCTACCCCCTCGATCCTAAAGACCGATGCCAAGGAAAAACTAATCCCTACCACTACCATTAACACACATAACATATCACACAGGCATATCCCATGACCAAAGCACATAACCATACCAAGATAATTATCACAAAGACAATTATATAATAACTACCCTTGTTGGTGGGCCGGCATTGTGGCCTTAGACCCACCCCTACTGGAAGGTAACTCACCTCGAACGAGTAGCTGCTGATAATCTGCGCGGGAAATCTTTGTCTGCTGCTGCTCCGGAAATCCTCCGGCTATAATCCCCACAAAACACTTAATCAGAGTCGGATATCTATTCTTAGGGTAAGATGACCATTTTACCCCTGACCATGTCCAAGTCAAAGTCAAAGTCAAAGTCAACTTCCAGTTGACCTGACTCGCCGAGTTGGGCCGCAAACTCGTCGAGTCCCTATCTCTTCAACTGTCCTCATCTACGTCTCTACTCGTCGAGTTTAGCAACGACTCGACGAGTTCTCCTTCTATAACAACCCCGGATGAACCTTCATCCGACTCGCCGAGTTGTATCAACACTCGTCGAGTTCATCTTCATCATATGAACAAGTCCTGTCCTCGACTCTTGTCCAAATGAAAGATCTGGGTCCCTAAACTCGATCTAGCACGTAAAGTTACGAACTTTACATGCATGCATGGGACTTTGAGCCAAAAAGGCTCTAAAAGAGGCTCTTAAGTTGCATGGGGGCTTCCATGGGTGAAAAAGCAGCCCTTTTCTGCCTTGTAACTCCTCCATAGACCTAGATCCGAAGCCTCAACCCCCAACCATGCTTGCAATCATGGTTGGTTACCAAGAATGGCTTATAAAAGCCCTAAATCTTCCCA